GCCAAAACCAAGCCCCAAACAGGCATAATCACTCAAAGCCAAGAGTCCTTAGCCCCTTTCCCTCCCCTTGCCAATCAAGTACCATTTCGTTAAAGAATCCGTCCTATCACTCCAAACCTCGCTCTTGATCCCTCATTACAGACGAACCCGTACAAGGTGGCAACCTTCCCTCCTGTATTACAACCTTGAGACATCGGCCCTATCCGCCCCTCGACTTTGAAACCTAGCCCTTGCACTCCTTACACCCCTTTAAACCCAGACCAAGAAAACATAGATATATATGTATATGTATGTATATCTACCTCTAGAACTCGTGCTTAAGGATCAATGAACATTGTACGATGGGTCATCCTATGTATCCAAGTCCCTTTTATTGTGCACAAGGGCATGGGACTTGTCAGGACATGAATCTGTGCATTTTTGGGGTCTTTCCCGAAGGAATTGACTATTCCTAGTCACTTTCCCGCGGGTCCCCAACGGGTCCTTGACGGGACCTTGGCGGGTCCTTGGCAGGAGCTTGACAGGCGGACGACCGCCCACCTCGCGCCCACTGGTACAATATGCTGATTTCTTAACCCCTCATTTTATTGACTTGCAGCGCACTTGTGTGCCTCGATTGAGGAATGTGAGTCTTGGGTAAGGAACCATGGACCACCTAAACATAGTGTCCTACGTAAAAGACCTTGACGCACGAGACACCATCGGTAAATCACAATCAATTACATTGCACGAGTAATTGAAATCGGATCCCACGATACAACCGACTAGGGATGTTTGGCGTAAAGAATTGCGCAAACCAAGGAGGCGAGTTGGGGACTCGTACTAAGAACCCACGAAAACCTTAAAAGTCAAAATGCTAAGGAGGGACCAGGACTCCTCCAAACCATGGACATCGTTCGAGCAAATCAGAGGACTCCTTACAAGTTGTATGGAACCAAGAACTACGTAGCCCATGGTGCTAAGCAAAAGGGTGAAGAACACATTTCGCGCCAAGACTTCAAGGGTCATTAAGGACCTACAAGGAGATGAGGTGACTCGTAAATTCGCCGAGTCATCCCACAACGAGATTTGGTAACCGACTGCGCTTTAAAAGAAAAAGGGCACGCAAGGACACCTTCATCATTAAGAATAACATAAACAGGGCACAACAATGCTGAACCTCGGGTAAGACATGAAGTCTTACTAAGAATTTCATCCACTAAAGAGGAGATGAAATTCAATAAGAAGAGAAATTCAACCCAAAATCCATCGACTCCCAAGAGACTTTGGGAAGAATTTGGGAAATGCACCCTAAGAGATTGGCTTGGTTGACCCAACTCGGTCAAAACCTCGGGCGCATTAAAGAAGTAAGTGTTGAACCACCACGGAAAATTCCCTCAAGAAAGAAGAGAAGGATGAAACCTTAGCCTGGGAAGCAAGGTCTAACAAGGATCTTAAAGTCAAGCAAGCACCAACACCAAGGAAGGAGGATCATCAGCTCGTCAGCGCATCGTGATCAAAGCATCTAACCAGATTATTCACTTGGGGTCGAGAAACCTTAACCCATCCTAGCCGAATTCCTTTCCCTCCCTCGGAAAATCGGCCCCTTCCTTATTTCAAAACCCTTTCTACCCTTCAGACCCCATTCTCAATCCCATGTTTTAACGATTCCATACAAGTGGCAACCTCACAACTTAAGTTGCAATCTCGAAAACTTGATCCTAATTCCTAAATTCACCGTGTCCTCAAGTTTGAAACCCACTCTCTTAACCCTGTAAAACCTAATCGCTCCCAAAAACCCAACACACATAGGCGTGCAAGTATACAATTTCCCCGTGGAATACCTTCTCTATAGGACCACGGTTCTTCTCTTGACTCGTTAACCCTGCAATGATTTCCAAAGCTTCGGGGACGAAGCTTCTCGTAAGGGGGGGTGAGTGTAACACCCCGTGTTACGGCCTTCAATCCCGGATTAATTATTAAATTAATCCCGTTAATAATAATTAAATATGATTTAATTCGGTTAGGTTTCCTTTAATTAATTAATAAAGGTCCACCATGAACCGTGGACCCTTACCTAAATTAGAGTCCTAAGCCTATTAGGAATAAAGAAAGTAAACCCTTTACTATTCAGATTCTAATTAGGAATCCTAGACCTAGTTATCTATTAGGAATAAAGGAAGTAGGCCTTTTACTATTCAGACTACGATTAGGATTCCCTTTAATTAATTAATATGGTCCACTATGGACCATGGACCCTTATCCCTAAACCCAATCCTTAGTTCCAAAAGGAATAGAATTAGCAAGCCTATAATATTAGTTCCTAACCGGGACTCCTAAAAAATATAAATAGGGGACTTAAGAGGCACCTAGAACCCCACACGCCTAGACGCCCCACCACCCCAGGAAAGCTCTAAGAATTTCCTTAGAAGAAATCAAGAAAACAAGAAAGCTTAAAGAAAGATCCTTCATAGCCAAGGAATTAATTAAGGCTAAGAGGTAACCCATGTCTCAACAAAACCTATTTTCATAGCTACGATTTCCCCTTAGGGTTTCCCCCATATTGTTGTAAATGGCGATTGATGATAATTATTATTGATGTCGATATAACGATTCCATGAGGAACCTTGATAATCTTGATATTGGGAGTTTCTTGATAATTATGATGTTCTTGATGACTAATTGGGGTTTTGATGATTATGTGTTGTTCTTGATGATTATGATGTTTTGATGATTAATTGGTATCCTTGATGATTATGTGTTGTTCCTACCGAATCTTGCAATTAGAAGACGAATTGTATTCTTGTTGATATAAAAGTGATTAGAACCCTAGGTTGTATCGTATGATATTATTCTTGGATTATCGGGTGGGGAATTCGCATGTTTGGGTGTTGATTATGATTAGAAAAGCATGATAGGTTATGTGCCATTCGTTTACCGTATTTGATCCGTTAATTGTTTATGTGTCGTCGTTGATTACGTTGAAAAGTGTCTAAGCATGGTTTCAGGTTCCACAATGGTTCCCGGGACGAAAAGTGGTGAAAAGAGTCAGTGGGGGGTAGGTGGGGGGTAGGGGACCCGCCACCTACCCGCGGCAATTCGGGCAGCTCCGGCAGCGGGCAGCCGGCGGGCGGGCAGCTGCCCGCCGGGCACCCGCTGCCCGGAACAGTGTTACCGGCGGGCAGCCGGCGGGTGGACCCCCACCCACCGGCTACCCGCTGGAATCTTCCCCCCCTCGGGACCCCGGCTTCCCCGTTTGATGTTTCCCCGATCCCCGTGGTGTCCCAACGGACCCCGTTTGTCGTGCCTATGTCTAGTTTGATATTTCGGGTACCGTTCGTAGGTTTATGAGTCTATTATATTGCATGCTAGTTGAATTGGTATCCCGTTGACCTAGGTGGAAGAAGCATGAACCCCTTAGGACTATTCTTAGTAAGTGATGGATCACGCATAGATTTTGTTATACGTTTTCTCCCCCTTCCCAATGTGTAATGTGGGTTGCATGTGCTTGCTATGTGTTATGTGTGTGTGTTACCCCAATTCGGTTGCGATCGGATTGGTTATCCTGAGCTGCGGTTCAGAAGCCGGCTACAGTCAGATGGGAATTCCTGGCTGCAGTCGGATGACGGTACCCTGGGCTGCGGTCCAGAAGCTGGTTGTAGTCAGATGGGAATTCCTGGCTGCAATCAGATGACATTTTCCCGAGCTGCGGTTCGGAGGCTGGCTGTAGTCAGATGGGAATTCCTGGCTACAGTCAGATTACACATTCTTATGAGCTGCGGTTCATCGGTCGGTTGCGATCGACCCCTCCGTGTTGCGATACGGGGCAGGGTGCTGCGGGGCCGTGTCAGAGCTATATGCGCTGACCCTCATGTATGGGCATGCGATTGGTCCTGTGGCGCCAACAAAGTGTGTTATGTGTTGTGATATGGATGAGTGGTGATTATGAGTGTCTTGGGGGATGTGACTATGGGATTTATATTGGGGATTGTTCATGTTGGGTTATGATTATTGTTATGTTTTGCCCTATCTGCCTTATCTGTTGTGAACTGCATATGCTCGTTATAACTGCTGCTTGTGTCTAGCCTTATCTGTCGAGTCATTCCCGGTTTTAAAGCTAGTGTTCGTAGGATATATCTTCATGCTCAAAATGGTTTTCGTATATCTATATATATCTCTATATGTATTGTATTTCAACGCGTTGGAGTGGGTTACCAGCATCTCTCACTGAACAGATATATTTGGCTTTCAGGCATAGAAGATTAATTCACTGGAGTGCGCTAGAACTTAGAAGTAGATAGTTTCCCTTTTGGCCTGCGTGCCACGTTTACGTATTTACGCTTTGAGGATATTAGTTAGTTAGCCTGTGCACTTGGGTTCTCTAGCCCAGGTGTGGCATAGCACCCCGAACGCTTGTATTTATATCTTGGGATTTAATAAGATTCTACCTTTATTATAAGTTTTAAATGTCTTGAAAATCTGGGGTGTTACAGGAGCTTTTAGAGGATTTTAATAGTGGAGAAGCAAACAATTCAATGGCTGATGATGATGGTATACTGATTACATTTTCTTAATTGAATTCTAACCATAGTTTTTCTGGTCCAACATTTCAATCATTGACATTGTTATGTTTTGCAGAATTTCCTGAAGTTCCACTACCACCCCGACGCCGTGAGAGAATAAGAGCGCGAGTTAACCCGATCATCCCTGAAGTTCCACTGGCTGATGATGATGGTATACTAATTACATTTTCTTAATTGACTTGTAACCATAGTTGTTCTGGTCCAACATTTCAATCTTTGACTTTGTTATGTTTTGCAGAATTGCCTGAAGTTCCACTTCCACCCCGATGCCGTGAGAGAATAAGAGCGCGAGGTAATCCGGTCATCCCTGAAGTTCCACTGGCTAATGATGATTGTATACTGATTACATTTTCTTAATTGACTTGTAACCATAGTTGTTCTGGTCCAACATTTCAATCATTGACTTTGTTATGTTTTGCCGAATTGTCTGAAGTTCCACTTGCACCCCGACGCAGTGAGAGAATAAGAGCGCGAGCTAATCCAGTCATCCCTAAAGTTCCACCAACTGATGATGATGTGGTTATGGAGCTTTTTGAGGATTTTAATAGTGGAGAAGCAAACAATCCAATGGCTGAAGATGATGGTATACTGATTACATACATTTTCTTAATTGACTTGTATCCATAGTTGTTATGGTCAAACATTTCCATCATTGACTTTGTTATGTTTTGCCGATTTGCCTGAAGTTCCAACGGCTGATGATGATGTGGTTATGTAGCGTTTTGAGGATTTTAATAGTGGAGAAGCAAACAATCCAATGGCTGATGATGATTGTAAACTGATTACATTTTCTTAATTGACTTGTAACCATAGTTGTTCTGGTCCAACATTTCAATCATTGACATTGTTATGTTTTGCCGAATTGCCTGAAGTTCCACCGGCTGATGATGATGTGGATATGGAGCGTTTTGAGGATTTTAATAGTGGAGAAACAAACAATCCAATTGCTGATGATAATGGTATACTGATTACATTTTCTTATTTGACTTGCAACCATAGTTGCTCTGGTCCAACATTTCAATCATTGTAATTGTTATGTTTTGCAGAATTTCCTGAAGTTCCACTTCCACCACGACGCCATGAGAGAATAAGAGCGCGAGGAAACCCGGTCATCCCTGAAGTTCCACTGGCTGATGATGATGGTATACTGATTACATTTTCTAAATTGACTTGTAACCTTAGTTTACTGGTCCATCTTATCAATCATTGACATTGTTATGTTTTGCAGAATTGCCTGAAGTTCCACTTCCACCCGGACGCCATGAGAGAATAAGAGTGCGAGGTAATCCGGTCATCCCTGAAGTTCCACTGGCTAAAGATGATTGTATACTGATTACATTTTCTTAATTGACTTGTAACGATAGTTGTTCTTGTCCAACATTTCAATCTTTGACTTAGTTATGTTTTGCAGAATTGCCTGAAGTTCCACTTCCACCCGGACGCCACGAGAGAAAAAGAGTGCGAGGTAATCCGGTCATCCCTGAAGTTCCACTGGCTAATGATGATTGTATACTGATTTCATTTTCTTAATTGACGTGTAACGATAGTTATTCTGGTCCAACATTTCAATCTTTGACTTAGTTTTGTTTTGCAGAATTGACTGAAGTTCCACTTCCACTCCGACGCTATGAGAGAATAAGAGTTCGAGGTAATCTGGCCATCCCTGAAGTTCCACTTGCTGATCATGATGTTGTTATGGAGCTTTTTGAGGATTTTAATAGTGGAGGATAAAACAATCCACTGGCTGACGATGATGGCATACTGATTACATTTCCTTAATTGACCGCTAACCATAGTTGTTCTGGTCCAGCATTTCAATCATTGACTTCGTTATGTTTTGTTGAATTGCCTAAAGTTCGACTTCTACCCCGATGCCGTGAGAGAATAAGAGCGCGAGGTAATTCCATCATCCATGAAGTTCCACTGGTTGATGATGATTTGGTTATGGAGCTTTTAGAGGATTTTGGTAGTGGAGAAGAAAACAATCCAATGGCTGACGATTAAGGCATAGTGATTACATTTTCTTAATTGACATGTAACAATTGTTGTTCTGTTCCAACATTTCAATCATTGAATTTGTTACGATTTGCAGAATTGCCTGAAGTTCCACATCCACCCCGATACCGTGAGAGAATAAGAGCGCGAGGGAATCCGGTCATCCCTGAAGTTCCACTGGCTAATGATGATTGTATACTGATTACATTTTCTTAATTGACTTGTAACCATATTTGTTCTGGTCCAACATTTCATTCATTGACTTTGTTATGTTCTGCAGAATTGCCTGAAGTTCCACTTCCACCCCGACGCCATGAGAGATTAAGAGTGCGAGGTAATCCGGTGATCCCTGAAGTTCCACTGGCTGATGATGATGTTGTTATGGAGCTTTTTGAGGATTTTAATAGTGGAGGAGAAAACAATCCACTGGCTGACGATGATGGCATACTGATTACATTTCCTTAATTGACCGCTATCCATAGTTGTTCTGGTCCAGCATTTCAATAATTGACTTTGTTATGTTTTGCGAAATTGCCTGAAGTTCCACATGCACCCCGACCCAGTGAGAGAATAAGAGCGCGAGCTAATGCAGTCATCCCTGAAGTTCCACCAGCTGATGATGATGTAGTTATGGAGCTTTTTGAGGATTTTAATAGTGGAGAAGCAAACAATCCAATGGCTGATGATGATGGTATACTGATTACATTTTCTTAATTAACTTGTAACCATTGTTGCTCTAGTCCAACATTTCAATCATTCACATTGTATGTTTTGCCGAATTGCCTGAAATTCCACCGGCTGATGATGATGTGGTTATGAAGCGTTTTGAGGATTTTAATAGTGGAGAAGCAAACAATCCAATGGCGGATGATGATGGTATACTGATTACATTTTCTTAATTGACGTGTAACCATAGTTGTTCTGGTCCATTATTTAAATCATTGACATTGTTATGTTTTGCCGAATTGCCTGAAGTTGCTAATGATGATGTGGTTATGGAGCGTTTTGAGGATTTTAATAGTGGAGAAGCAAACAATCTAATGGTTTATGATGATGGTATACATATTACATTTTATTAATTGACTTGTAACCATACTTGTTCTGGTCCAACATTTCAATCATTGACTTTGTTATGTTTTGCCAAATTGCCTGAAGTTCCACCTGCTGATGATGATGTGGTTATGGAGCGTTTTGAGGATTTTAATAGTGGAGAAGCGAACAATCCAATGCGCTGATGATGATGGCATACTGATTATATTTTCTTAATTGACTTATAACCATAGTTGTTCTGGTCCAACACTTCAATCACTGACATTGTTATGTCTTGCAGAATTTCCTGAAGTTCCACTTCCACCACGACGCCTTGAGAGAATAAGAGCGCAAGGTAACCCGGTTATCCCTGAAGTTCCACTGGCTGATGATGATGGTATACTGATTACATTTTCTTAATTAACTTGTAACCATAGTTGTTCTGGTCCAACATTTCATTCATTGACTTTGTTATGTTTTGCAGAATTGCCTGAAGTTCCACTTCCACCTCGACGCCATGAGAGATTAAGAGTGCGAGGTAATCCGGTGATCCCTGAAGTTCCACTGGCTGATGATGATGTTGTTATGTAGCTTTTAGAGGATTTTAATAGTGGAGGAGAAAACAATCCACTGGCTGACGATGATGGCATACTGATTACATAGACTCGACAGATAGAGCTAAGCACAGGCAACAGTTATAGCAAGCATATAGGGTTCACGACAGGTAAGACAGATAAAGCTGAACACAATTAATACTCATAACCCAACATATCCCGATCATAAGCCCCATAGTCACATCCCCAAGATACTCATAACCACAACACATCCATATCTCATCACACAACACACTTTGTTGGCGCCACAGGACCAATCGCATGCCCATACATGAGGGTCAGCGCATATAGCTCTGACACGGCCCCGCAGCACCCTACCCTGTATCGCAACACGGAGGGGTCGATCGCAACCGACCAATGAACCTCAGCTCATCATAGTTTGATCGCAACCAAACAGTGGACCGCAGCCCAAGAGTATGTCATCTGACCGCAGCCAGGAAAACGAACCGCACCTCATGTAGAAACGTTTGATCGCAACCAAACGGTGGACCGCAGCCCAAGAGTGTAAATATGACCGCAGCCAGCTTCTAAACCGCAGCTCAGGAATAACCAATCCGATCGCAACCGAATTGGGGTATCAGGCACACATAACACATAGCAAGCACATGCAACCCACATTACACACTGGGAAGGGGGAGAAAGCGTATAACAAAACCTATGCGTGATCCTTCACACACTAAGAATAACCCTAAGGGGTTCATACTTCTTCCACCTAGGTCAACGGGATACCAATTCAACTAGCATGCAATATATAAGACTCATAAACCTACGAATGGTACCCGAAACATCGACTAGACATTGGCACGATAGACGGAGTCCGTTGGGACACCACGGGGGTCGGGGGAACATCAAACGGGGAAGCCGAAGTCCCGAGTTGGGGGGAAATTCCAGCGGGTAGCCGGTGGGTGGGGGGCCACCCGCCGGAGTCACTGTTCCGGGCAGCGGGTGGCCGGCGGGCAGCTACCCGCCCGCCGGCTGCCCGCTGCCGGAGCTGCCCAATCTGGCCGCGGGTAGGTGGCGGGTCCCCTACCCCCACCTACCCCCCACTGACTCTTTTCATCACAAAAACGCCCCGGGAACGTTCGTGGAATCCGAAACCATGCTTAGACACTTTTAAACGTAATCGATAACAACACGTAGACAATTAACGGATCAAATGCGAGAAACATACGGCACATAACCTATCATGCTTTTCTAAACATAATCAACACCCAAACATGCGAATTCCCATCCAATATGCCAAGAATAACACCATACGATACGTCCTAGGGTTCTAATCGCTTTTACATCAACAAGCATACGATTCGTCTTCTAATATCAAGATTTGGTGAGAATGACACATAAACATCAAGAACATCATACAATTATCAAGATCATCATATAATTATCAAGAACTCCACATAATCATCAAGAACACCCTAACTATCAAGAACGCCATAATTATCAAGAACCTCTCATCATCAAGGTCATCAAGATCACCCATGGAATCACCACACCAACCATCAATAATAATATCACAAATCATCAATACACAATAATATGGGGAAATCCTAAGAGGGCAATCATAGCTATGAAAATAGGTTTTGTTGAGACAGGGGTTACCTCTTAGCCTTAATTAATTCCTTGGCTATGAAGGGTCTTTCTTTAAGTTTTCTTGCTTTCTTGATTTCTCCTAAGGGAATTCTTGGAACTCTTTGGGTGGTGAGAGATTATTGTGGTGGGAATTCTGGGTGCCTTCTAGGTTCCCTATTTATATATAGCTAAGGGTCTTGTTTAGGGTCTAATCCTTTTAGGACTAGGGGTTGAGTTTAGAGATGAGGGCCCACGGACTATGGTGGGCCTTTTTCCCTAATTAATTATTATGATTTATTCTTTCTCTTGGGCTATTGGTTAATTAATTAATCGGTTTCAGGGGTCGTAACACGGGGTGTTACACAGTGTACTCTTTTTTACAATTTGGATGTGTTTCTCTTTCACTTGTGCACATAATATATTTTGAGAAACATCCCTTAAGTTACCGAAAATAAACATAGGGTCTGTTTATAAAGGACCTACGTTGGAGAATTAAAATGCATGTGACCATAATGGATACTACTCTGATTGGTGCGTTTGGAAACCAGGAAAATGATTTTTGGAAAACGTTTTTCGAGTTTCCAGTGTTTGGCAAGAGGGAGGAAAATGAGGTCAATGGAAAATGATGCCTTAGTCAAAGGAAAATAGGCATGTTTTGGGAGAAAATGACTTCTCCTTTTTGTTGAGGGAAGTCATTTTTCAAGAGATGCACATGCAAAATTTTGGGAGG